TCTAAGATAATTGATTATGTGATGAGAGTGGCTTAGATGATTATGGATAGTACACAAAATCTGTTGCCAAAAGGTTTAAATGATTTATTTGGAAAACAAATTCCCCCAAAACAAGGTAGGAATACATTCGCTTTTGAATTTTCTTTCAGAGCTTAGAATAGTCAAAAAGTCAAGAATTATCTATGAAAGATGAGCATTATCTAATAATCACATTATATGAAATTTCAATATCTATATTGGAATATAATATACATTTATATGCATGGATCATTCATTGCAGCAAGCAACTGCGATCATGAGAACTCCGTTTAATCCCCTTTTTAAGTCTCCGTCTGGATCAGAGGTTTTTAAAATTACGAATTCGATTTCAGACAAGCAAAAGCAAATCTCATCTGTCACGTGACGTTTTAGAACCCAACGCTCCATATTTAAAAAAAAATGATACAGTGAATTTCAAATCTACAAGTTCTTAATAACTTGAAATGGGTACTAAAATTTATAAATTTAATCCCATTTAGAAACATATATAAAACATATACGAATTACACGATTTGACAAAAATGGGTACTCTTAACTCCTCCTCATGTGATCTAAACATCAAACCCTCAAAGGTAGAAAACATAAGACATAAACCTCCTATAACCCGACAGAGACATGAAGAAAAAAATTAACTTCTATGTATTAGAAGATTTGGATAAAATTTATAAAGATTACATAACATTGTGTAATATTTAAATTTGATAACCCAAGTCCGGTAACCTGATGGTTGGGTAATACAAAATGTTTTCAATCAACCCAAGTTCAAACTCCATTGAATCAAATATTACCAAAAAAAAATATTTAAATTTGATATCATGTGATTCTATTTTTTATCTATAAATATTATAATTTTGAATAACCAGAAATCAAATAATTCTCCGCTATTTTTCTTAATAGTATAACCGTCGCCACTTGAAGAAGAAGACGCCATTTCCGACACCGGAATCTAAAACAAATCCGATCTGAATCTCCGTTTCCTTTGTCGGGAATTAGGGTTTTTTCCACTGCCGGTATGGGTTTTCTCGATGCCCGATCCGACCCCCCAGAAATGCGAACGAGGGAGGGCTCAAGGAGAGAGACAGATGAACTACGCTATGTAATGGGCTTCAAAATTTAGTGGGCCTTTGGGCTGATCTATTTTGGGCCTAATCTTTAGACACTGCAGTTTGATGGGCTTTATAAATAATTTTCTTTTGCCCCAAATAATTATCTTTTACTTTTTTCCTCTCTTTTTATTTTTTTAAATGTGGTAAATCATATAATTTTTATGTATAGTATATTTTTCTTTCTTTCTAATTATCCATTTATTTCACTAATCAACCGATGGTCCGACGCTCTGCTTATTACATAACTTGTTTCCAACACAATGCTTTGTTCCCTACCCATTATTAATCTATGTATAATCCAATGACGTTTCTGTCCCATTGGTTTCTTATTTTATTGGTCAAGGTTAGAAATCGAAGCATAATTTCTTCAGATTTTTGGAAGTACAACGTGAATATTTCAAAGACTGAGAAAAATCATCTAATTTGATTTCATTTTAATACTTTATATATATATATATATACTCATTACAAAAAAGGAATAAATAATCCTCATTAATTGTTTGTTTCTCATCTTTCTGTGGCTACAATAGTTTATCACAATGGAACTTCAAGACACACATTTCTTCCTAACCTCTCAAATATATAATTAGTGATGATGAAATTTTACTACTAAAAGAGATAAAATTGTGATTTAATTTGAGAAAGAAAGTGGGATAAAATTTCACGGGGATTTGGGTCGGGGGCAGACAATAAAGCAAAGAGATGATTAAGTGACAGAAGAAGATGATGTCCACTTGAATTTGAGGTCGTCTGGTTTTGGATTGAATTAAATTATTAGTGAATATGAAATCATGGTCCACGTATCTCTAGAGAAATCTATGAACTATAATTTGGTTTTACCTTGGGTAACAAAAAAAATCCAAGAAAGATTCTTCTATCCATCTTTTTTGTTTTTTTAATGAACTCTATATTTTTAGGCAAATAAAACTCTGAATTTTATAAAATGTTATTTTTTTAAAACCAAACCGCTGACATAATGTTTCGATATCATACGATGACAGCTTGTGATTTGATCGAATCGTACATGATTGTTTAAAAATGACAAATTTATAAAATTTGATTTTTTTTCGAACTCAAATAACGAGATCGGAAATGTGCCAAAAAATGGAATTCAATTTTTTTAATGGAAAATTTGAGAAGCTGATTTTTTTTTTTGAGATTTTCCCTCTTTTTTATTATAGTTTTCACTACAAATCTCTCTCTCTCTCTATATATATATACGACTTCTCAGGGCTGACTGGGGGGTAGTGTTATTTGTTGACGTGGAAAATTACGGAAATGCATATAATTATGCAAGTGTACGACAAAACCTTAAATTAACGCCATTACCCCATCATATCAACCAATTGGAGCGACACAGATTATATTGTTATGCATGTGCATATATATACACGCACACAAAGTAATGGGCCGATTCCTGCAAGTGGAATCGAGTTCGTAATAGATAATTCACTTGCGTGGCATGTTCACGACCCTAAAATGATTTTAAATTATAATTAATTTATGTTTAGCAAATATACGCCATTTCAAATGTATGGCAATGACTCTTTTTTCCAGTAACATTGACGATGAACAACGCCTGCAACCGATTACATAAACATATCACAGACAGACAAAAAAGGTTTACAGTCCATAAACATGACAGAGATGAAGGAAGAAGAAGAGGGAGGTTCACAAAGGTCACCCCGCTATTTCTGGAGAGAATGTACAAAACTATAAATCATTTATTATGTAAATTTTCCAGCTCAAAATCCCAAGCAAAAATGCAATCAAATCGTTCAAAATTTATATATATTCAGAGAGAGAGACTTACACAGCACCTGGTATATATATAGAGAGGGAGGGGACTAACAGAAGAATGATAGTGAACTGACGGTTCTACCCCTCATCAGCTCGGCGGAAGAGCCGAGCCGGAGGTTGAACCGGACAGAAGCTCCGCGAGAGTACTCATGGCGCGGATTTGCACCTCCAGTGCCTGTATGTAATCCGTCGCTTCTTCCAGAATCACCGGCAACGTCTGTTTCCGGCAACCGGGAACCAACCTTCCCAGCACCTTCACGTTTCTCTGCACCGCCGGCAAACTCTTCCTCTTCAGCCTCACCACCGACACTCTCACCTTTCTCGGCCGTTCACTCGAGGCGTGGACCACCGTCGCCACCGTCGGTCTCGGCCGTTTCTGTTTCCGGAACTTCAGCTTGATCCGGTTCGCCAGAATCGCTCTGCTCCAGATCGTCCTTCCGCGAGCGGCGACGGCGAGAGCGCGATCGGCGGCTTCTCGGACGGCCTTGCTCCGCCGCGTCGCCGTCGGCGATGTTGCGGAGTTTTGACGGACCTGTCGCATCGCCTGGATCAGCTTGGCGGAGTAGATCCGCTGTTGCTTATCGGATCTCCATCGGACGTGGTTTTCACCTTCTCCAGCGGCGCTTCTCCGGGACGACATGGCAGACGGTTTCTTCTTCTTACTACTCTTCCTCGAGGAATCTGAGAAGCTAGGGTTTGGAATCATCGTGGATTCATGATTCGAGATCAGAGAAGCCATTAGTATCTGAATCCTGATCTCGATTTCTCCAGTATTCGCTTACACCTGGAGAAGAAACAGATTGAGATTACAAAAAAAAAAAAAACAGATTCAAATTCAGAGAGAGAGAGTCCAGAGAATGTAAGGGGAGGAGAGAGAATATAAAGGGAGAACACGAACCGCACCGTTTTTGAGCACTGTTAATTCATCTCTTCGCTAATACGAGACGGATGGGACCAATGTATTTGTATTTGTATAATAAAGTTTTCATGTCACAACTTGATTAGTTCACATTTAAAGAATATATAATTTGTTACAACAATAATATGAGTGTTTACATTGTTAGTTTATTAAAAAGACGTGGGGTCTTTTGTTGTGTGCAAACAAAGGGATGCTACTCCTTTTGCTCTGTTTCTAGTTTTGCTTTAATTATATACACATATATATAGAGAGAGAGAGATTCCTATATCCGATTTTTGTTATAAACAAATATATAATCTTTTTTTTATTGTCATTGTAATATTTTCAGGGCATTCTCGTATTTCAAATTTAGTCTGGATGGCCCAATATAACCGACGTTTTTCTTTACAAAAATTGCTATTAGTGATGTTATGAGATCAATTGTATGCATATTTTGTATTTTTTGCATTGTTTTTTTATTCTAAAACACCAATTTTTTAAATTAATTCACAGATTCCGTACAAAAAAATTTAACCGTAAATGTCATATATCAACATGTAAACATAATTATAACAATACGTGTATTTTGTGATAATCGAATCCTAAATTCATGATGCGTCGGGTCTGCAACAGTTTGACATTGCCTATATATCCCAATGCCATAGTATGATATTAACTATATAGTATGAATTTCGTCAATGATTCCAAGAATAAAAAAAAATAATAATCAGAGGACAGGTAATTTCAATATCATGGTGTGTCGAAACAAGTCTACGTGCATCTGTATATACGTACATGCATGCATAATACATGTGTGCATGTGTATGTATATATACACAGGAAGAGCTGTATAAATATGCAGAGCGGGAAAAGTGGGAATCGAGTGGTGACGTGTTCCTAATTTGATGATTGGCAGTATAGTTGGACATTTGATTATTTTTTTTTGTATTCGTGCACTGATTTAATATGTTGGTGGATATATATATATATATATAATTTAATATGAAATATTTTAAGGAATTATCAAAACGAAAATTGCATGTGCGTAGTGGGGTAATGTGTCTCTTTTGAAGGCTTTTTCTTTTATTATTTTCTTTTAAAATGGAAACGTTACGGACGGAAAACCCATTACTTTATAAGCCTTATTGTCGCAAAAAAAGTAATAAGAATAATAATTGTATTCTTATTAAAAGTATATTAATTGATCAATATAATATATGCCCTATTCTGTACCATGTTCATTTATTTATACCTATTGAAAATTTGGCATCCATCACAACATCACAAGAATCTCATTGAGACAAACTTACAATAAAAATAACAAAGAATAGGACACAAAAGAATGTACAAACAGTGCATTAATTAATCAACGTCTAAACCATGCTCACATAGATGCAATGACGTATTGTATGATCAAATGTACATGAAATGAGCAAGTTTAATCAAAGTTACCAAATTGTAAACATAATCACTATTACTATATGGAAAAAAAATGTGTAATCATTACATGTATACATACATTACAATTTGGAATTTTGTTTGAGAGGTTGAGGGAGGCGGGTAGAGATGTTTATTTTTGGTGGCAATCTACCTAATCAGACACAGTTCAGTTTTAAAAAAAGAATTATCTAACATTAATAATTACTATAATGAAAAGATAAAAATTATTTAATTATATATATCAAATTCATATTATTTTTTAATAGTGAATTCTTTTGAATAATTAAAAACTAGTTTTATTGCTAAAATCCGTCGTCTATGATATAGAAAATATTTAATCGGATTAGCAGCATATGGTCAGTATATGTCTCCTGCGACAAAGAGAGGGCTATTGAATCTAATTTATTCGGCAAGCCTACAAAAATGTTATATACCTCTTTTTTCTTGGAAAATATAATACATATATTTTTTTTCAAAGTAAAATACACATGACTCCCAATAATTTTAAACATCAATAATCTCAGGCTCCTACTGTATAGAGCTGACCAAAAATAGTTCCCCAATCATATTCTTTACACATGACTCCCAATAATTTTCTTGGTAATATCCGTATATATATATATAAAAAAAGATAAAATCATCCTTATACTTCTAAACTATTTACAAAATATCTAAAACTTATATTCAAACCCGTCATATGGGTTTTCTCCATTTTAATATCCGTTTTTGTTTACATTGAGTGTCGAGTACCTGTAAAATCGATTATTTGCAAATTCGCGGGTAACGGTTTAAATGCTCCACCCTAGCTGTGACATAATTTTGCTAGTAAACCATTTCAACTTCAAAATCATTTTATATCTTTGAAAAACTTGTACAAATCTAGGTATATTCTTATATTTTTAAAATTTTCAAACTGTAAGTGTGTTTTTGGATCAAGATATGGATGGTTTTGTTGAATATTTGGTTTGATTTTAGATTGATGAATGTTGGATATACAGATACGTATACTCGTGAGTATCTGTCTTTTAATCACGAATATCCATAAGACGAATATTCGAATGTTGTGAGACAAAAAAAAGATAGGATATCTCTAAAAACTGGGTACACAACCGTGTTCACCCCTAGTGCCAGCAAGATGAGAAGGGAAGTAAATTATATTTCAATCACGATTTTTGCAATTGTCAATTTCAGTACAAAAAGCATTCCACTGCAATTAAAACAGTTTATCTTTTTAGAATTTACGAATATCATTATTTTTTTATTTGGATATTCAATCCCAATCACTTTAGTACAGTAGTGTGCAAATAAATGAAATGTATTAAAACTGATGTGATTTCTATCAAATTATATTTTTCATAAACATCTTATCATAGACTTTGAATTAGGACAAATATTCAAAGACTGTATAATCTAGCAAGCATCACACCGTACTTATCACACAGAAAAAAAAAGAGAGAGGGCATTTCGTTTTAAAATTTATACCAAAACAAAGCCCAAATTTACGATTTTCTGTTGTTTTCAAAGGTACATAACAAGCGCACGAATATTCTTTCATTAGAGAAAAATATCCAATTTACCAAACAAATCTGAAATAATGTAATAGATGAATTGGATCCTACTAAAACCACAATAATTGAAGATTTCAGCAAAACGTTTTATTTTACTCGGGAAAGGTGAAACGGGTAATTTTGACCCGATCCCGAGATAAGATAATCAAATGAGGTTAGAACTATAGATCCCTACGTTCTAGGGGATCTATGCTTTGATTTATACCACTAGTTTATATATGTGTGTGTATATATACACATATAATATGTAATCATGAAGCAATCCTGTTATTGTTATGTCATTGTAATAATTGTCCCATGTGTAGAGTGAGAGAGAGAGAGGGAGAGACATAAAGGGACCATTCTACAGAATAGCCTGAGAGACAAATGATTTATAAAATCTAAAGGAGTATTTGAGTGTGTATGATGAAGGTTGCAGAGAGATTGCCCCCTTTGCTCCGGACATCATTAGATGGATATCCATCCACTCAGATTAAATTTCTTTATCTTTCTTTTTTCTTTATATGAGAAAAAAAAGGTTGGAAGTCTTCATCATATAATGAATGATGATATATATTATTATATATACCTTATTTCGATTTATTCAGATGATATTTCTTGTATTTTTAGGGATTTGTGGGTATATAGGGATATAGGAGCTTTGGTATGAGTTAGCTGCGAACATTGATCAGGGCCATGTGAAAACCATATTCATTGGGGGGAGAGAGAGATAGAGAGAGAGAGAGAGACCTGTGTATGAAGCATTTACATGGTCAGCTCCTCCTTTAATACGCCTGTTCAAATGGAACACTACATAGAGTAGGATAGGAGTGTATTCCTAAAGTAGATGTCACTGTTCATTCATATGATGAGTCTGAGCAGATCAGGTAGATGCTTGAACTGAGAACCCTTCCAAATGACAATGCAGAAGATTTATTAGCAGTTCCCAATGCCGCGGAAATTCAGTATAACAATGATTCCGAGCCATAGACCAAAAATACAAAATGTGTTCATTCATTAATGATTCATTATCATGACTAATATTTAATCAAAACACAAGAACAAGGTTGAAACAGAGAGAAGGGGAGTGTGTGCGTGTGTGTGTATGTATGTATATCTCTATCTAATCATTGGTGCCCACTAATTCGTATGAATAACTTTAGATTTCCCTTTTATAATTTTATTAACCTTTGCTTTGCTTCAAAGTACAAGAAAGATGCTTTCCACAAAACATGGTGTTGTACTAGCCTTCTCTGCTGTTTAGTGGGATTCCACAATCCTTGAAAGAATATTGGGTCAGGGGTTGTGGGTTTTCCCCCCACCTAATCCGCAGGAAACCCGAGACAGTCTGGATTATTCTAATTATCCAAATGCTAATCATAGAATCAGCCTCAAAGAAGAACAAATTTAACCTAATACAACAATGTGTACTTATCCTATGATTGGTTATAATCCGGATAAGATAAGCAAACAAAGCTTCACTAGCTGGACTTCCCATATAAAATAGACCGGAATAAGGGTAAGGGATGGATTTCTATAGAATGGAAAATACAGCCTAGCACACCAATGATATGACCTGGCTAGAAACTCAAAACCACAAATTTTGGAGACAGAGACAAATGATGTACCAGAAAACAAGCACACTTAGTATAGAAAACAAAGTGGTTAGGTATTTGTCTACAAATTAATGTGTACTAAGTATGGATGACAGCAAGAAAGATGGATGGATCTAGCAACTGAAATGCCAATTTATTATTTTGGAAAGACTTTGAAGTTAACTAACTAACTAACATGGTCAACAGGGAAAGATCAAACGTCAAATCAATAGCAAATTAAGTTTAAGAAGATCAACAATCAGTGAGAGTGGCAGAGGGAGTAGAAAATAAAAGAGCTAACTGATATATTATAAACTCTTTTTGCAAGAGAACATGTGTCTGTATTCTTGAAAAGAATTGTACCAAGGAGTAATGTGAGAGATTCTTTTCCAAACATTGATCTAGGCAAATGCAATCTGCAAAACCTAGATATAGTTTCTTTTTTTGCTTAAGTAGATATCACTTCTATAAATGTCATGGTTATGCACTTCTACACATCCTAAAATGTCGTCCTCAATGATGGACCGGATCTAGAAATACACAGTTCTTAAATATACACAAGTGGGGACGTTGATTAATAGAGATGAAAGAGCATACGTTGACACCCATGATTTCAATCGAAATGACGGGTTTCCATTAACTTAACAAAAATAAGCAAACAATTGGGTTATATCTAAGATATGTTGATGGCAGCTCAATGAAACAAATCCACAAGATAATTCCACTATATGCAATGCCGAGTAATGTATTTAAATTGCATCTTGAAAAGGAGGTAATTTCAACTGGCTACAAAAGCAAAAAGGAAATCACTTACCTTGTGACTCAGCATCCTGTCAACGAGCCATCCTTTAATCCTTCAAGTGGGTAATGGACCAGTATAAGGAACTTGTCCTCCTGAGCGGAAAAAGACCAGGATCAAAGCGAGAATGGCCCATAGTATAAAAGCCAAAAGCACGATGTGGTACTTCATTGTAATAATTTCATCCATCCGGTTTTTTTCTTCAGGCATATCACTTGGATGGATAAATCTCCTGAGTTCATGAACCTCAACACGCAAGGAGTTCACAGCAACAGGCAATTCCGTAATCAAACGGATGGGGTCAGCAACAGTTATATCCATTTGACTCGCCACATTAGTGATAGTAGAAATTGGAGATAGATCAGCCGGAGAATATTTCTCTGGCGTAGATAACAGATCCAAACATGATCCTTGCATTACATTCTGAATCAGATAAAGAGAAAACAAACATCAAAGAACAATACGATCGAACACCTCTAAATCAGACAAAGGCCTAAATCAAAGCAAGGATCGCTTACAAATAGATAAACAAACGTTATTCTTGGTTATCAAACGTCTTTCACATTCATTCTCATTCCACTTGCAAGAAAATTGATGGATGAAGGAGCATCGGTTCTAAAGTATAGTCACGCCAACGAATCAAAAGAAGAGCTAAAACGAAACCATACCTCAGCATCGCAATCGGAGATAGATCCAGAAATAAGAGCAAATTCCAATGGATCCTTCAGAATATCCGATGATGCATCGGAAAACGGAGCACTATGTCTCTTCTCGGCCAACTTCAAAGCAGAAATGGAGAATTTGAGAAAAAAAAAAAGCACGGAATCTAAGAGAAACGGAACAAGGAACAAGGATACGATGAAATCCTTCATCTCCGTAATCGATTACCTTGCGATTCTTCATCTCAGAATCCTTCGATCTCTTAGTTCCAGGGTCGGAATTGCGCGGGAAACTTATCCTCGGAATTTGAATTTCCTTCATCTCTCTCTCTCTCTCTCTCTCTCTCTCTCTCTCTCTCTGTGGTTCGCTTCTAATTTGGGCTCTGCGGAATGTGCACCGATGAATCATTCGATGGCAACCCTATTAAGAAAACGTTCCTATAATGGGCCTAGCCCAAACAATAGTGTGACAAACAGGCCCAATAGTGGCCCTCGAAATAATAACCGTCAGATTATCAGGAGTCTGATCCAACGATGGAGGATTCATGCACAGGTTCACCACCGGTCGGTATGATACATATGGGAAATAGCTTCAAAAAGCCCCTTTTGTGTTTTGACATTCTTGTTAACTAATATTCCTCAATAAGAGCAATAACCATTTCAACTAATATATATATATATATATATATATATATATATATATATATAGTGTGTGTGTGTGTGTTGTCAAGTGTCTCCTTAAGTTTTTTGATAGAAGCCTTGTGTGTAGTTGGGTTAGCATTCGAGCACCATAGGTTTCTATCGGTCCCCCATTGATGGCACGTGTTTCATTGTTACAACACATATCTTATTGGTCCATCAAAAACCATAGCCTCGGAATTGTGGTTTCATTCAAAATACTTCTCTACCTGTCACTTTTACTGATTATTTCCAACATTGTTTAATATGTTTTTATATTAAATTTTGAAAATTTCCTCGTGGGCACTCTTTTTACTTAAATCAGAGTTGACCCCTCTGCATCTTTTTCATACCAAAAAAACCCAGCTGCCTTTGAATTGGTAACAATTTTTCTCCGCATGAAGAATTTGGACGGCTTTTCACTTTTCGTCCGACAAGAGCCATTTGTCTGTTCATGAGTGACTCTACAAGACACGTATGGAATGGACTAACTAATGATTTGAGACTAATATGTATCATCATCATCATCATGTTAAATCATCTCGAAAAAAGTTTAGCAGAGACGACAGAGAAGCTTCCGCCAGAACCAACGAAGCATGACAATATTTGGGAGAAAAAAAAAACAGAAAAAACACAAAAAAGGAGAGAGAGAAGAAAGAATCAGCACCCGAAGATCTTGAGCAAACCGTCAAATGAAACGCCGCCGTTTTCATCACCGCCGGCTAATTTGATCATCGCCTTGATCTCATCGTCGGTCGCATCCAAACCGGCCGAATCCATGTAACTCTTCAGATCTCCGAAGCTCAATCTCCCATCTCCGTCCTTATCCATCACCTTGAACACATCCTCCATCAACCCGTCCCCGCCTTCGGATCCGCCGTACGACGACGTCAATTTCCCGTTATATCCCCGCAGAACCTTCTCGAACTCGTTGTACTCCACGAATCCGTCCTTGTTCGCGTCGGCCGCCGAAATCATCGCACAGATTACATCGTCGGAGGAAGTCGATCTCGGGATCCCCGCGTAGAACGAACGGAGATCATCGCAGCTGATTTTGCCGTCGTGATCAGCGTCGATTACCTCGAACGCCGGCCGGAGATCTGGATTCGCGGCAGTTATCATTCTCCCCGAGGGACACATCTCTCTCTCTTTTTCGGTGGGAGTGGATTGCGAAGGAAGATGAAAACGTGTTGAGGAGCAGCAGCTATGAGGGGTTTATATACATACACACATATACTTGTGTTGAGGAATATCCGGAGCGTATAGGCTGGCAGCTTGGAGGACAAGATTGACTCTGTTGAGCGTTTGGACGGTTGATATTTTTTATATTTTTTGACACATATTCTTTTTTTATATTACAGTGTTTTCAGAAAGAAAATAATTATATCTACATATAAGAGAAACTTTATTTTAAAACTACATTAAGGGATTTCATTGTATAAAAATACCCAGAAAAATGTGTTCTTATATGGGAAAATTTGTTATCAATATTCTGTACTGGTAATATGACGGAAAAAGTAGATTCATGAAATTAATAAATATCAAAGTAATCTTAATAATTAAGAACAATATTTAGTTTAAACAACATATAAAATTAATATATTTTTTAATCTATTTATTGATTTTTTTGGTTTACTATATTATTTCTCCTTATAAAAGCGCGTATTAGTTTTTTTTTTGGGTTACGCATTCGATGACATCAGCAAAGAGGGAATCTTTGGCCTCTAGGCTGATTCGTACAAACCAAACAGAAGATTCTGGATGTAACGCCGAAGAACAAATTCGGGGTTTTGTTTTGTTTGTGAGTTCTCGTGGTCGTCGTGGACCCACCGACGCATTTAATTTTGCATGTTTTTTTATAAGTCGGTTTTAATATAAGGTCTCCTCCTCTCATTCTAAAGCGCATCTTTTCGTGTGGTCTGCCTTTCTCTCTCTCCGTAGATGGCAAATGCAAATTTCGCTTCTGCATGGCTGGTACGTGTCGCAATTACAGCGCACACATTATGGGCTTTTATGGCCCATTTAGTCTGAGCCGTTTTATCCCAAGGCCCATTATTAGTTTAAAACCCTAAATTCATAGCCGAGTTCGAATCCTCATCATTCATCAAGCTTCTCTCTTTCTTTTATTTTCTGTTTTGGTCCAATTAAAATATTTGTAACAATTCTTTCCTGATGCTTGTGCATATTGCATTTGGATTCTTAGCATAATTCCGGCCGAAATATGTAAAAAAAAAAGAGCCCAATCAGCCAATTTACACATTTGACAATTACGGGCCGGTTTATGGGCCCGTATAGTATTATATTATATAATAAGCAGATGAAGTAATTTCTCGAATTGTACGAGGGCATTTATGTCTTTTCGGTAACTTCAACAGTTGGAAACAATTGCCTGCAACTCGAGTTCAAACCTGTGTTTCTTCTTAGGGTTTTAAGCAATTCAGAGAGGGGGGGAGAGAGAAAGAGAGAATCTCTTTTCGACCGAAATGGAGGGAGCAGAGGAAGTTGGAGCAGATGAAATGGTGGATTCGAAGGACTTGCAGAAACAGAGCAAAGCCTTCGACAAGCTTACTGATCGCGTCGAGGATCGCCAGCTCGATTCGTCTCGTGTTCAATCGGTCCGTGCTTTTTTTTTTTTTAATTCGAATTATTCTGCCTCCCGTTCGTGATTTGATTTTACACGAAGTTGGACCTTTTTAACCAAAAAGAGAGAGAATAAATTGGGATTTTTACGTTTGGAATATCTAGAAGTGTTCTTATGGAGATTGAAGGTCGTGCCTAATTAGGGTTTTCCTCCCTCGTCTGGCTGATGAAAGATAATTTATTGTCTCAGGCTATGGCCTCGATTGCTGCTTCTAGGGAGGCGGATCTGAACGCCAAGAGATTAAGGTTCGTAGTCTTACCTCGCTTGAATGATACCCCTAACGCTCAATGGTCGGTGAAAGATTTTCCTGAAGAGAAAATTATTTGCTTTTAGATGCTTCCTAATTTGCTTGCGTTAAAAGCTGGGGGGCATGGTGCTTTTCTGTGCTTCCACTTTTTCTAGACTTACCAGGCTGACCAAGAGATTGTTTTTGGGCAAATTTGTTAGCATTTGGACTATTTCCACCATTACACATCTTAATGTTGTTATCTTGTTGAGGTGATCTTGTCTTTGTTTATACCGGAAGCTTCAACTGGTGTGCGCTGTTTTGCCCGAGAACATATAACGATGATAATCAAACGAAAGATGTTGAAACTAAGAGTTTATTGTTATATCTATCTAGTGTAGACTGTGTAGTTATCCATGAACATGTTTTATGTTTACGACATCCATCTTTAGTCGGATGAGTTTTGAGTTCCTTTCATATAGTTTCTTCAAATAAAACATTAGTTTATACACGTGATTACGAAAGAGCATGTAGTTCCCTCCCTCACGGTGCCAGAAATTTGTAGGGAGAAGGAATTGGCTTCTGTCAAGATCAATGCAGCAGATGTTGAGATTATAATGAACGAACTTGAGGTCAGTTTTTTTCCCAAGCTTTTTTCGTGATTGGTCGAACATTTAGTTTTATTCCATAAAAAAATGCTTCTGACGTACTCTTCCCTTTTGAAACGTCGGTGAGCAGTTGGAAAAGAGTGTTGTCGAGAGGACTCTACGGGAGCATAAAGGAGATGCAGTCGCTGCTACACGAGATCTGCTTTCCCGATATCCTCTCTGACGAACTAATACAAGGCTGGTGAGGCTTCGTTTTATTTCTTCTTTTTTTCCAAACCAAAGAGTCGGTCCATTTTTTTTTCTTTGTTTGTGCTGCAAGTAACGTAACGCCAGGTTGAATTGATCAAATCTCCTTTGTTTTGAATCTATTTCTGGGGGCTTTACATATTTATACAATGATATTCACTTTGGGTTTCTCTTGAGCAATTTCAAAGGAAAAAGGATGTTTATTGTTTAATGGGGCTTTTCTATATGTTTGGTGCGTTTTATACTTCAATGTGGATGAAAGAGCAGGTTAAGTGAATGCAAACATCATACCAGGAGAGCATCAGTTTTAGGGCACAACTAATATCTTTTGTGCTGTCTGTAAATCAAACATCCATGGTTCTTCCAAAAGGGGAAAAAAGAAAAAGAAGAGACGGGTAGGTAACCGTACAGTACATAAATAGCTGTGTGTAGTCATAGAAGAGCAATGGCATGATTCAATTAAACGACCCATCATAATTAAAATATTTAACTATTTTTTTCTTTTTGTTTGTTTTTTTCCCCTCACCGAGTCACTGTACAAACTATTCTTAGAAATGGTTTGCTCCTTTCTCCATTACATAAATAAATATGTGTATATATATATATATATATAACCCTAAGCCCTCCACCGAGCCTGAACAAAAGAAATAAATAAAATTCCACAAAACGAGACCAACCCCCTCTCTATATAACCCTCATTCTTAACCTTGCCTGGCCGAACAAACAAAAGAGAGGCCGAAAACAACACTACACTGACCACACACACCACTCCTCTCTTCATGGTTTTGGTGCCAGGAAAAAGACGTACGATCGGTAAAAACCCAATCCTCCTCCTGCCAACCAAACCCATTTCTGCTTCCCACTACTAATCAAACACGCACGCACGCACACATTCACAAAAAAATTCACCCTCCCGCTTCTATGTATGATTCTTGATTGCATAGAAGAAGATTTGAGTTCAGACCTGCGTCGGTGTGATTTCTTCTTTTAGTTTTCCTTCTGTAGTGAAGAGTTATCTGCAGCTGAAGCACGGGCCGCTTGGATCTGAATCGTGCATTTCCTTTGAAGTTCTCTCAGTCTCTCCATCAGTTCTTGGAACGACGGTCTTTTCTGCGCTTCACTGCCCGTTCGTAAAAAAAAAAAAAAAAAGAAGCAAACAAACATCATTTCCATGCACGCACTCACTGGGACAGCTAAAGCTTCTTCATGTGACCATCAAAAGTTCAATAACATGTTGACGTCTAAGATTACCTTACAAGTGTCTCAAACAAAACATTGAGTTTTTCTATTTGGGTTCATCAAACTGAAACCCCACGGTTATCGCTCCTACGAGACTATATGCAACGATTTATTCAAATAATGGATGATGGCTGGGGCAGGAATCTTCGTGAAAGGGGTCTGAACGTACCTGTGCCAGCAGCTCTCCATCAAAGAAGCCCACTGTGGATCGATCTCCTTGGGAATTTCTAGTCTCTGGTCCATGAATCCTACTGCTCCGATCACCTGCAAGTTTTCTAAGCATGCCTCTCTTCACATCTGTTCTTTGCTATATACGTACATATATTGTAAAAAGGACTACTGCTTTGGGTTTGTAACGGCCTTGAAACTGTATGGGGGTATTGAAATCCAAGCTTTCTTGTACCATTGTACAATCATTTGTTTGAATCGAGGTATTTCACTCATATCTTTATTCATTGAAACTCTGTCCTTACAATAACTAAGATGGGTTGGTAAGGTAAGGTTTCTGTAGTACAAATTTAGCTCGGGGTGGAAAACTTTTTTGGGTAACCGAATATTTTGATACAATCTAACAGCTGAATAAACATAGTTGCACCGAATTTTGTGATGTTTGGGGTTTCAGTGGTTTCCAAGTTTTATTTAGCTCGCATAAAAAAATGTAGTTTCTCACTCACATTTGTACAAGTTTAACAATTTCTGGATTCATTTCGAGACTTTTTGGCTGAGGAAAACTGTACCTGCATAGAGTTTAGGTTTTCCCATGGGATCTTTTCGGTGGCAAGCTCCCATAATATTACTCCAAAACTGTAAACGTCAGACCTGAGATTGAAAGAGCAAGAAGAGCATGATTATGTGATGAGGAAGGCCAGAAGAAAAATCAAAGGAAATTTAAACAATTAAAACATCAGAACGTACTTCTCATCAGCAGGCTCATTTCGAAGAACTTCTGGGGCCATCCATTGAGGCTGCAGAACAGGTAAAAAAGGCGACGCCAGCCATTGTGAGAAGTAAGTTTCACGTAAAAGATCGATGGGAGTTTGGGTAAAGTACCGTTCCCCTCCCCGTCTTGGTGGTGAGGTATGTCTCGTGCTTGAGACGTGAAAGACCAAAGTCAGCAACCTGTTAGAGATGACAATAAGTTAATCATGGTAAGTTTCAGTGCTCCATTTTAACATTTTCACTCTGATTTTCCTTTTCCATACATTGAACAACGTCAGCGAGAAGAAAAATAATCAGAGGCTGGGTTCCCATAGGATGATTCAATTCTGGCAGAAGGTATTTGGTAGACCTACTAAGTATATTAGATCTAATGCAATTATTTCACTGTATCCAGATGGATGCCAATCACTCATATCATGCATAAAGCGCGACCAATCAAAATTTTATTGGAATTTTCCATAACCAGTTGATTCTTCAGAACCATGTCACATCCAAAATATATGATGAACTGAGACAGTAATTTGTAAATTCATAACTATCTGGATTTTCCCCTCCATGGAGAATGCCAGGAACAATTCTTGAAGCCACTGTGCATGTGGGGGAAAGGAAATATAGGCACTCTGAGATGGAAACATTACCTTCACAGTCCAGTTCCTGTCAACCAGTAGATTCGATGACTTCAAATCACGATGGATGATAGGTGGACTACAGTGGTGTAGATAATTCACTCCACGAGCCTGCAAGATTAATTATCATAGAGCACATATCACATGTTGGGTGAAGCTGAGCAAACCTGAAGAAGTAACCAGATAGAACGGCTCACACTGTTAACAATATGGGCTTTGATCGATGAAGGGTTAGTTGAGTGATCACAGTTCTAACTCAATGAAATTCACCATTGAACAGTATTTCAATTCAACTATCTTAACTCCATAAATTCAAGAACTCCCCTATACAAATTCAAATTTCTAACTCCTTACCTTAACTCTGTACACTCAACTCTCTTTAATTTTGTATACTTTACTCTCTCTCTCTCTATCTATCTAATATATATATATATATATATATATATATATATTCCCTAAACTCCTGAATTCAATTGGTTACCATTCAGATCCAAAGACATGCAATTACCTATGATCTCAGAACTAACGAGATCACGTCCCAAATTCAAGAATATTAAATACTCACAATGTCCAAGGCCATATGAATGCGCTTTCTCCAATCTAATTTTGATGAGCTCTTCTGTAGGAGTCGGAAGAGACTTCCACTGCAGACAATGAGTCGGGAAGTTTAGGGAAAAGATTCAAAGATTTGCTCTGACCAAAAAGCACTGTGGAAGTGAGATGTAGCCAAGAATATGTGAGCACACCGTGGAAGGAACTCTGTCACTATACATAGACGCTGGGGTGAAGTCACAGCTCCCATAAACAGCAGAATGTTTGGATGCCTAAGTCTTTTCATCAATGATACCTTCAGAACAAAACTAGATCAGCAAAGATGCTTCATAATTTGAACAAACACTAAGCTGATGCCAGAATGATATATCATTCAGGTTAATGCAGTTCAGAGTTCAAGCTGATATAGCACGGAAAATTAGAGGTAGTTGAAGAAATGCTTTAGCCTTACTAAGTTACGAAAGACAGGAGGCGGATTTCCATTGCACTAAAAACCAATAACAATGTCAATGTGTTCTCTCGAACTATGTCAGGATAAACAAGTAGATAGAAAAGTGAGGAAACGTGATACCTCTTGTCTGAATGATTTTATCATCTCTTCTGAATATTCTTGTTTGGAGAATACCTTGACAGCTACATCCTGCAGTGGCATTAGTACGTCTCAATTAGAAAGACTATAAACTTTAAGTTCCCATCATGGAGACTTTAGCAACCAGTGAAGTAAATTTAAAACATATTATCAAGATAAGTTCAAAACGTACAGAACCAAACCATAGACCATGGTAGACAGTTCCACAGGAACCTGTGCATATAAAAAGGACATTGCCAGAGGTTAGCCGAACAGAGAAAGAAAGCTATCATAAAATATATAATATGCTTAAGAGATAAACAAAAGATGTGTCTTTAGCAAGAATATCATATTCCTCAAGGAATAATCACCTTGCCCAATTTGTTCTCCAATGGTCAAGTCCTCCCACAAGATTTCATAGTCTAAGCAATCACTATCAAAATCAGCTTTGTTCACAACACCGCTGCTGGTACTACCACAGCTGCTGGCGCTGCTAGTGCTGTTCACATTAATAGAGGAAGACCACGACCCAGAAGCCTCGTTATTAGAAGGCTTATTACTGTCAGATACCTGGCCTTCGGACTTAGCACCAGGAGAGGGACTACTGTGGATAGCCAGTTCTTTTTCTTGTTCACTGTGCACTAGATGCCATGCAAAATTACCAGGCCTTCCTTCTGAACCTTCCCGCTCATTTCCTTTCCATGGCCATGGAAAACCTTTCTTCCCCATCCATTCTTCGGCTTTTGAGCTGAGAATCTTTCGGATTGCAGATTTTCCATCACTCTCATCACCAGAATCTCTGGAGGGCTTCCCAAAAGACTTGTCATCATGAAGCGAGAATACACCGAAAGGAGACTGGATAAAATCTCCTCTTGGTGTGCTAGCTCCACTGGAATTTGCATCTTCCCTGTGGTCAGACAGAGCAGCATCAGACAAACCATGATCAGACTGATGACTGTCCCCACTGCCACCCTCGCGTGCTGCGTTGTTCTCACCAGATCGAATTTTCGACCTGACCTTGTTGCTTACCCTGGATGCCTGTAATTTTGACTCACCAGTCACAAAACTGCAGTAGTATTTTAAAACATGAGAATTTGTAATCTACATTGGACTAACCAAATCTGATATCTTCGATGCTATAGCGACTTGTAGAGGCTGCTGAGAATCAAGCCCGAGTTTAGATGCAACACTATTCATAGTCCGGCTAGAGCTTGTTTCCCCTTCCTGTCGCCTTGATTTCAACAAAGGAACTCTCGGGTCCTGATAGAGCGAGGACTCACTTGTGATACAAATAATTCCAATCAGAGAACCATCATCATCATAGAAGGGGGAAATCGTCGTGACAACCGCAAACCTCTCCCCTATTCTGTTCTTGACGGGAAACTCGCCCGTCCAGCTCTCCCCATTGCTGCAACGTCGAGTAATATCTTGAGCAACAGCAATGTCCCTATCATCAACAAGAATCTCAAGTGGGTCCCCGCCAAGTGCTTCCGCAGCAGAGTAGCCATAAAGCTTCTCCGCCATTGAGTTCCTGGAACAACCGCGCCAACGAATTGAAACCTGAACATCAGTTGAGACAACCCAAGTACAAGAGTATATATACTACAAAAGGAAAAAATCGAAGCTACATCACCATCCTTCAACCTCATGAAACCACGGAATGAGGGTTCCTGAATTATAGGAATCATGATTCCAAAATTATAAAACTAATTATTCCTTGTCGATTCCAAAACCTCCACACATTATTGGAAATCACAACTTACATCCGCAGGATCGAACTACTCACCAAAAGATTATGCGACGATCGAGATCAAACACATGAACAGCTTGCGCCATAGACTGGAGAATATTCAAATACTGCTTTTCCGTGAAATTCACCGGGGACGGTCCTCCGCCACCGACTCGAGCCCTCGCATTCTCCGAATCCTGGCAGCGACTCTCCCTTTGCAGCGGGGAAGCGTGGCGAAATGACGCGGTCCCGGTCCTCCTCCATGCTGAAGTTCCGTCAGCTCTGTTCCTCCTCGCCGGCCGCTGCGGCGACGCCGAATGCGAGCGCTGCTTGTGCTCGGCAGATATCTTGAGCTTCGACATCTCCTGCTTCAGATCCTCCTGACTCTCCTCCAGCTCCCGTATTTTCTTCAGTAGCTCTTCCGCCGGTGGGGTCTCCATCGGAGCAACCAAAGCAAGAACACGAACACGACGGAAGTCAAATCTGAGGGTGAGCGAGTCGAAACGTAGGCCGAGCGAGTTGGATCGGAGCTCGAAGGAACAAGACCATGCGGAAATGGCGGAAACTTAGAAAAAGAAGCGGAGAGAGATTGATTGACTATGGCTTTCTCTCTCTAGAAGAAGACAGCTTTCTCTCTCTAGAAACTGGATGGAATCGGATCAAAGGGAAAGAGAGAGAGAGCTTCTTTTTTCGCAAGGAGTCAACAATAATGGAAACCTCTTTTGCTTATCTTTGCCTCCTTCGATTCCCTTTTTTCTGCTTCTATGTTTTTTATTATGTTTTTCACATTTTTTGTTTCATTTTTTATTTCTATTTTTCTCTCTCTCTTTTTGTTTTCTTTTAAATTTGTTTTTAACCTTTTTTATAATTTTATCCGCTTGTTTTTTGTCAAGTATAACTAATATGAAACTCCTAACAAGGTTCCTTATTTCAATTTGATAATAAATGTGTGTTATCGAGTTCCATAAAAAAAATGGTAATTTAATGTTCATTTGTGGGTGTATCAGATTTTTTTGTTAGACTTGGAAATAAGACTTGTGTAAGATTCTTTTTAAAAAATAACACAAATTTATTTGCTGAAGCAAAATCTATGTTTCCCAAATACCAAATAAATTGAACATAGATTTTATCCTAATTTTTTTTCCTTTAAAAAATCATCATCCCTATTAATAATGGGTTCATTTTCATTAAATCCAAAACTCAGCAAGAGCGAGGAGCGAGGGTTAATCAACGCGCGCGTGGAAACACGGACCAATGAAAGGATATGTATAGTAAGAGCGTCCAACGAAAAAAGCGCGTGACTTCCACGCAAGGGTAGGCGCGCTTTAATAAGCCCTCGGCAAGTTCGTTGGTTAAAAAGGCTTACTCTTTTGTTAGCCATTCAAATGGGTTTCGGCCAATTGGATCGGTCCTTTCTTTCCCATTTCCACCAGTCGTGTCCTTTCATGATATTTCTTTCCTCTTGAGGCTTCTTTTTTCTCCTAAATTAAATATATATTACGGTTTTTTTATTTCTAGTAGAGGGTAAATTACATTTAAATTTATATAATTTTTTTGGGGGGTATATCGTGTACACCAATTCTTTTGGGTTATTGTTAGTAAAATCTATATTAGTAAACTCGAGATATATGAATACATGGTTTAAATATTGACTATTTTCATGGTATATTTAAGGTTTAAATTTCTATATTATACTATTTGATATAAATATAAGTTGACTGTTATATTATATACTAACAATTGATATGAATGTGTATGATGTAGTTAGTAATAACCTTTTTTTAAGTATCCATATTTCCCTTGTTTTAATTGCATGTATGATGTAGATGGGAGGCTTTCTGTAAATCCTACATTTTCCTCTCTCTCTCTCTCTCTTTTTTTTTTTTTTTACTTTGTGGGCTAAAATAATAAGTGGAGGGCATGACTTAGTTTGCAAAAGGGCCAAAAGAATCTTTGAAGTGTTATGGGAATAATTTTTATTTTTCCAAAATGGCTACTAAATAAAATAATAATAAAAATAAAAATAAAAATAAAAACTTGCTTGAAAAGCAAACATCATGTGGCGATTTAGACATCTCTTTCTTGTTTTGCCTTTGTTTACAGTGAAACACATAGGATTGCGTCTTTTTTTGCATCAACAACCATTAAGCAATAATAGTTCATGAGAAAATATAATTAGTCTTAAAATATTCTATTTTTTTTATAATCTGAAAGTTTACCAATAATTTAACTCAACTATATCTACTACGAGATTAGAAAAATTCAATGCATCTTTTTAAGATAATAAAATATTTTACATGTTCTCGTATCGAAGGTTGGGTAAATATTTTATTTTCATGCAAATCCAAATCTTTAATTAATATTTGATCCAACGGAGTTCCAAACCTTTAATTAAGGAAAATATATTCCTTTTTTCTTTCCATGAATCTAAAATATCTACACAAATAAAATTAAAATTCATGAAATCTGTCATTTTTATATGTGTTATTTAAATTTTTTTGTTGAAATTTCGAACTTCATGGTTACATGGTTTTTGTTTTTATTTTTTCAAATTGGTGTGAGGTATTATTTATTAATAAAAAAAATTTTCGGGCCCGTCGTCGTGTAACCCATTGCCTTTTTATTATAAGTGGTCAATTTTTAATTATGGGACCACAATCTGCATCTCTCCCTCTCACCTTCAACTTGCACCCAACACTCCTATGCTAATACATTGTTATTTATTATACACACACACACACACACACATATATATATATATATATATATATATATATATAATAAATACACTGTTGATGTGATGATGGGATGCATTTAACCCTCCCTTTCATTCAAAGGGTCTACAGTTTTATCTCTCCTCTTCTTTTGTGAACTTTCTTGTTCCACATCTTAAAGCTGACTGACCATCACCATACCATTTAAAAAAAAAAGAGAGGAGAAAAAGCTAACCATCCCGTCATTGGAAATCTGTACACGCACATATAGTGGCACTTGAAAATTCTTTTACTTAAATATATTTAATTGCCACAAATATGTTTCCTTTTGCCATCAAATATATACAAACATATATATATATATATATATATATATATGTATATATGAAGAATCTAGAAGCTGCTCTCTTTATAACGGTTTTATTTATTTATATATAATCTTCTAGATTCTTCATCTGATCTTGTTGCCGAGTTGGTGAGTATATATATCTCTGCCCATTATTTTTTTGGAGGAAAATTTCATTAAATTTAGACGAGAGATTGGTGGTTGGTAGATCACCAACAAGCATTTCCTTCTAAAGACTGTCCATTGCATAAAATTGGAGCTAATTTCATGGACCGCGAGATACTGCACGTGAAGCGATGGAATTGCTACGGACAAAAGGCAACCACCAAAAACAGAAGTTAATTTATGTAGTAATACCGTTGGTATTAAAATGAATCGATAAATGGAAATTCAATTCACATTTTCCACCGAAATGTAGGAAAATTGCGGACTCAAAAAAAATAAAACGTCGTAAATTTGGGTCGGTCCGTAAGGCGGCGATGGCAACCGTCTCTGAGCTACTGCATTTGCCAATCCATAAATATTGCCGCCACTTTTAATACTATATATATGGACAGATAATTAAATGGAAGACTTTTAGAACCATATTTGTTAATTGTTTTTAACGTCAGTTAGTTAGTCGGTATCTAAGATTAGGAAAAATAATATGATTATGATAACCATGCCATTTGTAGCATAATTACAATACGATACCAAAAAACAATTATATCTAATTTTAGAGTATTCGAATGTAAAAAAAATAGAAAATTGATTTGATACTTATATATTTCGGACATTAAAAATTGACAATAATTTTATAATAGAAAAATGATGAACTAATTTCTTTTTTTAATAAATATTAAAATATTTATAAATTTGTGGGATACATACACGTTTGACACAAAACAAAACAAAAAATCTGAATTTATGTATATAAATCAGTGGTTATTATCTATCTAATTCGTATAATTTAGAGATCGAATTTTCAGAAGTAAAATCCAAGTTATAACTTGCAGACAAAGGTGGTTGGCTCAACTGGTAAGTGGGTATGCGTAAAGAGTGCTCTACCCAGATTCGAATCCCAGAACAAATCACATGTTAAAAAAAAAGGTTATAACTTGAACCATTATGACCCGATAAAAGCAAGAGTTAGGGAGATGCGGACCCTCACCACACCACTTGGCATACACACACATACGAAATCGTAACGCATAGAAACCTACTTGCTACATTTTGTTTTGTCGGATGTTTTGTAAGGTTGTAGTTTGGTTGGTCATAACCAGAGTTGCTGAAGAAAAAGAAATAAAGGAAATTCGGAGAAGAGACAAAAATACAGAAACACCGGAAAACAGATAACGTAGAGTAAAGGTGGTGTGTGTGTATCATCACAACACAGAGAGAGGAGATCTACGGGTTCTTTTTCGGGACACAGCATATCCAAAAGAAGAAGAAGAAGATTACTAAAAGAGCTTCAAGAAATCATGGGAGGTGGGGCCCAATGATATGTCATATTTCCCCGTCACTTGGTGTACAAGACATCTTCCCATGGATGACGGTACAGTGGCTGCTTCAGCCTCTTCTGGTCGAACGTATGCCTGCAGCATCCATCCATCATGATGTTTTTTTTATTATACGTACATACATACATATATAAACCAAACATACATGCCATGTTGTTGTTGTGTAACGATAGTTAAAAGAAAAAAGAAAAGGAAAGGGAATGGTGAATAACAAATACCCTATTAAACCGATGGAACGGGCGAGGACAAAGAGGCCGTTGAGGTAGCCGATCTGAACAATCTCGTCAATCTCCGGCTTAGTGAACATTCCACTGCCGGCGAGGAGGTCCAAGAAGAGAGAGCCAATCGCACCGTCCACGTTCAGTACAAGGTTGTTGGCCTTCGACAGCGTGTATGTCTCCACTTGCACCGCGTACTCCATGTACTTCACCGTCGGAAAATTCGCCCTCGCAAATTTCTGCAGCAGCTCCACTCTCTTGTCTCTGTTGTCCCTACTCTTTATCCTACAACAAACAATTCAAATATTGATGGGGCATCATCTCAATAATCAATTCATTATTCACTACCATCTTCTTCTTGTTTTTTACCTGTGGCCGATTCCCGGGACACGAATTCCTTTCTTCTTCATTCCCTCGACGAATTCATAAGGCGTGAGACCCTGCAAAATAAAATGGCAAAATTTTGTATCCAATTCCGTCTCAGATTCGAGAAAGTCCTTTCTGCCAGTTGTTGCATCTGAGGTGGGAGGAGGAGAAGCAAAAGAGTGTTTACCCGGTCACAAGCATCCTTGAAGTATCGGGCAGCATCATCAATGGCTCCACCGAATCTGGGACCGATGGTTAGCAGACCTGTTGCAAGTGTAACCAGTTTTTTTTTTCTAAACATAAGTGGTTTCCTGAGACTATCGCGTGCCAAAAACTCTGCTTGGGAAGAAGAAATTCACTAACCAGAGACAAGACTTGAGACAAGGTCTTTTCCAGCTCTTGCTGTTACAATGGTGTTGTGAGCGCCAGAGACACATGGGCCGTGATCAGCACACAGCATTATGCATATCTGTTCCATTGAGTTCAAAGTGGCAGTAAGAAGAATCCAGCTTTATTTCAGAATATGACAATCTGGCTTTTTTCTTAAAACATGTAGCACGACATGGAAATGAGAATGTAGATATGGCAGTATGAAAACAGAAAAGGCCAAAAAAACACACCTCGATGAACTTAGTACAGTAACGTGGAAGGCTACGTTTAAACCACAGAAGAGATATGACATCACCCACACCGTAACCTTGTTCGATGATGGAAGACATCGGCACACCAGCATAACATGGTTCTTCCCCTGAAAATCAAATAGCAAAGACGGTTCTCTTCACCAAGGTTTTCCATTTTGGAAAGTATTGGAAACTGGTTATCCATATGTAATAATCCACTGGCATAACAATTTGATTATTTTGGCTTAAGAGATCCAAGGATGCAATAAGAAGATGATACGGGAAACTGGTTTTTGAATTAGATAAGTACCCCTGTCATCAGAGATGGTGGAGATGATGTGAGTAGGGGCACGGACTTTCCCACTCTTAATTGCAGAGTTGAGATCCTCGGGGATTTGGGGAGGAGTGACTTCCTTGACAGGAGTGATCTTCCCTTCTTCAACCTGACAGGAGACAAGAGAACAGAAGACAGCAAACGAAAGAAATCTCAGCTCAGGAAACATCACAAGCCTCTCTCAGGAAAAAAAAAAGGGGCTTAGAAAGAGGAAACCCTACCAATTCCTCGAATGTTTCCTCGATTGCAGCTTCAAGGGCTTCGTAAGAAGTGGGGACAATTGCTCCAGCATCTTTCAGGGCTTGATTCTTGGCTTGTGCAGACTCCATCTCTCCACCACTTTTGGCCCCCTGGTTCGATATCATATCGCAGTGCGTGATTGGATGGTATGCAGACAAAGGCAGTGTATTCAGTTCTTTAGTAAGCTTCGGCCTATACTCACCGCATGGCCAAATTGTACTTCAGATTTGAACAGCCTTGCACATGTCCCACTGACCCATGCAACCACTGGTTTGGTGACTTTTCCTTGTTTCAAGGCTTCGACTAGAGAATATTCATCTCTTCCTCCAATTTCTCCAAGCACAACCATCATCTTTATCTGCAATATGCATGAAGGAAAACACAGCTCTGTGGAGTTATGGTACGAGATCATTGAAAGTAAGGTTGTTCAGATACTCTTAATTTTTTTTCTTAATAAAAATGTAATTTGTAACATGGAAGAATCAATAAAAAGGATAATACAGGACAACGAATCTCTGCCAGCGGAAAGCCCACAGTTAGAGAAGAGTGATTCATGCACCTGTGGGATGTTGTTAAACCGCAGGATATGGTCAGACAAAGTGGAGCCTGGGAACACATCACCGCCAATAGCAATTCCTGTCATGTTGCCAAAGGTTAACTCAGCTTAAGAGTATTCGGATATGAAGGACATGAGGACAGTGGTGGTTAGTAGAATCTGTACATAAAACTCACCTTCATATATACCGTCTGTGACACGGGCAATGGTATTGTACATCTCGTTAGACATACCACCCTGGACGAGAAAAACTAATGAGTAAACTCTCCCAGATATAAGGAATCATGATGATGTAATGCAGAAGACAAAGTGCTGAGAATCAAGCACTTACAGATTTGGAGACAAAACCAACAGATCCAGGCCTGTACAGCTTGCTCTGAATGATATTATCAATTGTTCCAGCAGTGTCACCTATTTTAAAGGCTCCAGCTTGAATGCCTCCAACAGTAGCTGGGCCGATAACAACCTGCACAACAAATCAGTGTCATGAATCGATTAAAAAAAATCCATGATAATAGAGTATATTGATCAGTAAATGACTCCAAGAAATCTTCGTGCATTTTTTGACCGAGCAATTGTACTGTGTTATTCAGTTCAATTTGTACTAACCTTATTGTTTGCACGGGCATAAGCAATCAACTGCTTGGTGTCCGCCTCCGGAACACCCTCTGCTATTATTGCCACCACTTTGATAGTTGGCTGCTTTAAGGCAGCCATGGATGAAGCAGCAGCACTGAAGAACACAAGGTGAATAATCGTTAGTGACAATCACACAACAAATTTTACTGCAACTGTCAAACCACACTCACCTTCTGAACGATGCAAAGTTGATGAATACGTCTGCAGTCGGATGAGCAGCACATGCTGCATCGATGCTGCGAGAGACATACATCTAAGTTTTATTACCCCTAGTATCGGAAGCGCATAGATAAAGGACATATGAGTGCACTTCTCTATCTCTCTATCTATATATATGGTATTTGACTTACGCTGCATGAACGGGGATGGCAATTTCCTCCTGGCCAAAAAAGAGCTTCTGGAACCCCTCGGAACCCGGGTTTATGATTCCAGCGACGGAAGGTGTTTCTCGTCCTGTAAGTCAATGGCAATGACGTTATTACCAGATTTGCCTCCTTGACACCAAATCCAACGGTCAAATAGAACCAGAAACTGATTAAGAAGTTGTAACTCTTATTCACCTCAAAGCTATGATTAAAGCAAGCTTGAAGGAGAAAAAAAATACTCACCGCAGAGGAAATCAAAATCAAGCATGCGCTGAATGGGCAGCTGCTTGTAGTTGTAGAACAAAGCTTGGGTAGTGCGTGAAAATAGCTGTCCCGTTGCCATATTGTAGGCTCCAAAGGAAACTGAGTCACAAACGAAGCGATATTTTGAGTTGCAAACGAAAATGCACTAGATCCAAACATTGGTTAACACATGGACACAGCCAAGTGATGAAATATCGAATCAATGCGACAGATCATGGCTCCACCGACCAAAATCGAAAGTTCGGCATGATGATTCAACTAACATTCACCACGTTGATCCTTTAAATTCATGGGAGAGCGAAATCGGGAGCCGAATCAAACACGAAAGAGGTCAAATTAAGAAAAACGCACTGCATCCAAGAATTTTGAATCCAACATTCCAGATGTGACCATAAATTAACTCAAATCATAACCAATATCCCACAATTCCAAATCTCAACCACTACATTGCCGAATTTCGCCGAAGCAGAAACACGGATGCGGAACCATCAAAGCAAGGAAATCACGCAGATCTCAACCTCATATCAGAGTAATCGAAGCATCACCAGACTAAAAACGCAAAGAAGTAAAAACGTGAGACAAGTCTCCTCGTAAACATCGACATTTCTTAACCGGGAAAAAACGTAACTCAGATCGAAATCGACAGAAACGGATCTAAAAATGGAATAATCCGATCGAACGAGAGACCTAATGACAAGAGAGGTAGAGAGAGAGAGAGAGAGAGAGATCACGAACGTCACGAACGCACTCACCTCCCGAGTCGAGCGAGTCAGCTCGGAACGAGTAACAGGAAGAGCGAGAGAATAATTGGAGTGAAAGAGAATTGTTGGGAGGAAACTTTAAATAGGGAGAAAGAAATGGAAGGGAGAGATCCAATTAGCTCAGCTAACCAGAGAGAGAGAGAGAGAGAGAGAGAGAGAGAGAGAGAGAGAGAGAGAGATGGAAGGATCGTCACGCGGCGTGGGCCGTGGTAGTTACCTCACGGCTCCGATCCAAATCTTTAATTAAATACCCCGTTCTTTTATTTTCGTTAAAAAAAACATTCATTTTATATTTGTTAATACCTTAATCGATTATTGTGCACTTTAATATTTAGTCTTTTAAACATGTTTTAATATAGATTTCAAATAATATATTGAAGTTTGATCCATCATATCCAGATATGAAAACAATGGAATACTATAATAACGAAATTTATAGTACAGTGTACAAAATAATGATGTAATATGATAATTGATGTCACTGCTTATGATTTGTTTTAAAATATTGCGTTGGATATTATCATGGGAAATTTATTGACTAAAAATTGGAATATTGACATGTGTTTTTGAATAAAACTAAAGTATTAAATATAGAAAACACCAAATATTATAATATGTGTATGTGTGTATATATATATCGACACATTTTTATTTTTATATTTGACAAAACCATGGACTCGTACCATGAAGCGTTGGTCCCTTTTGTATATTTTATCGATGAATTTCCGAATTTCCGATAAAATGAGAACCACAGATCATTATACAATGATGGTCGCTAAAACGTCGCCGTTTAAGTTAAGCGTATCTACCCCCTTCTGGTCCGCTCTTCGCCATGATTTGTTTTGCCTTCAAGATTCAACAACTGATAATATATATATATATATATATTAGAAAATCGTTTAATAAAATTGAATTTAAATTAAATTAAGCTTGGGCAGATCAACTAATCAAATAAATATAATGTTTTTCAAAATTAAAAAATCGGAATAAAATAAATAATTATAATCCAAAGGATCTAACGCTTGAGGACAAGCAGGACATTTTATGGTGTTGACACGTCAATATTTGACAACGTCCATGTCTTATTTATTTTCCACGTGACATATTAATGTATTTGGGTATCACTTGTAAAATTTTAAAGGCAAGTCAAATTTACGTAAAGTTGCTCAATTTAATATTAGCCCGTGTTCAATTTTTATTTTATTTTATTTTTCTGAAAAACGTTGTCTCGTGTATGGGACAAACTAACGAGAAAATGAAACACTTTTTGCCGATGTTTTGTATTTCTTTAATCCATTTCATGAAACTCAAAGCCCAATATATTTTTTTAATTATTATGGCATGATAACTTTCTAAAATAATCTCAAATTTAGAGGGTATTTTAAATAGTTAATAACTTTTAAAAGTTCTGATAATTAATTTTGTTTTTGTATAGTTAATATATTACGGACATTTTCAAATTATTTATACTGTTTTATTCATTTCTACAATACAGTATATTGAATGGAATGCATCACAACCACAGTAAATCCTAAATGTTTCTATAATATTTAGAAAAAGACAGGAAAAAAAATATTTTTGTTGTAATTACCAGACTTAGAAAATCGAGTTCTAAACCAAATCTAGCATAATTTTTTTTTATCCTTACACCGAGGTACAGCTTTTGGTACTTGTGATTTCGTTTAAAAAAATGAAAATATTGTTCGGTATTCATAAATTAAATTCTAATTGTTAATTATACGAAAATAATTTTAAAATGCTGCCTCTAATATTAGGACGGCGTAGTTAATGACTTAATATTTTGCATAATTTGTATTTAGAGAAAATAAAATATTCCGATATGAATTTATGTAAACGTGTCAAATTACTACATAATTTAAAATATATCAAAATCCATCATAATCCTAATAATAAATTTATTACTCATTTTTGCAAATATTACTTCAGGGGAAAAAAACACAAGGAGTGGCGTTAGGGTTTGTTTAAGGAAGTGTTTGTTTCAGATTTTCTACCATCTTTCCTTAGAGGAGGCTTTCTCTGTGTAATGCCCGAAAGAAATATCGTTTGTGTGGTTCCCTACTGGTATTCAACCGTATATCAGAATAATGGACCGTCCGTCAATTAGGAAAAAAAATAACGACAATAATGTCAATAAGAATTTTTAAAAAATACGGAAAAAGGTGACGAATGACCGAACAAAATTCGTCATCCTATCCAAATTTAGATAGTTTAATCGATGAGATTGAAATGCAAAACGTTTGTTTACGTTCTAAATTCGAACTTTAAATTTTAAAAGATTGTGTATATTTTAAATCACATTGTCGGTCTCAATCCTAATATTAATTTGGACCTTAGTTTAAGATATTTAGATTACAAAAAAAAAATCCTCGTACTTTTGTTTTTTATTTGTTACCCTTGAAGGTGGTGATGAATTGGTTTGGAAAAAAATTCGTCACCTATACGATTGATGGTAATTCCGGATTCGTAATAATTAGTGACGAAATGATCACGAAAATATTCGTGAGTTAACGGTGAAGGTGTAAAACATAAATCGTGACAATTTGATGACGTGAACGAATGATCCGTGCGATAGATTTGCGACGAAAGTAGTGACGGATTTTAGTCATAATATTTCGACGACCACAATGACGAATTTAGTGATGAGTTTTAGTGCCCACGAAAATAGGGACCAATTCGTCAATATATTAAATATTTAATTAAAAATAAAATATAAAATATAATATTGTTTTACAAATAAAACACAAAATCGCTATCGAAATCGTTGGAAGAAAGTCATAGAAATAGAGACAAGACAAAATATCTAAAATACTCTCATTTTGTTCAAACTACTTCTACACATCCCTTATTCAAATGTGACCATTTGACCAAAATAATTCTATAGTCACGTGATGGTCACATTGGTCACAACATTAAATTTACGATGATTTCTCCAAGTGATTAGTATGATATATAAGGTATGACTATAGTGATTTGGTGTAATCACCATAAATTTAACGTTATGATCAATGTGATCATCATGTGATCATACGGTTATTTCGGTCACATGGTCACATCTGGAAAAAGAGTATATGCATAAATAATTTTAATAAAAAGAGGGTATTTTGGATAATGTCTGGAGAGAAAAAAAAACGGAGTGAAACATCAGCGTGCACTGTACGGAATTTACATCACCGTTAAAGGGCATTATCAAAAATACCTTTAACTTTATCGAGGGAGATGTTATTTTCATGGACAAAGAGCGTCACTAAACGGGCAAAATATCCAAAATACCCTCGTTATGCTAAAACTACTTCTACACATACCCTTATTCAGTTGTGACCTTGTGACCAGAATAATTGTATGGTCACATGATGATCACATTGGTCACAACGTTAAATTTTTGATGATTTTACCAAATGATTAGTGTGATATGTAAGGTGTGATCATAGTGATTTGATGTAATCACCATAAATTTAACATTATGACCAATGTGACCATCATGTGATCATACATGAACTCTGGTCATAAGATCACAACTGAATAAGGATATGTGCAGAAGTAGTTTTAGCAAAAGGAGGGTATTTTGGATAATGCCCCCACTAAACGATGAGAACCCTTTTAATTAAACAACTCATGACGAAAATGACCCTCCCCAATGGCACTGTTGTCAAGAAATGTGCTCGTCGCCTACTGAATTAAAGCCCATATTCATTAAAGGCCCAACAAGAGGCCCAATCATGTATAATTTCTTTTTATTAATTATAGGTCCTAAGATTTTGTTATTATTGTTTTTTTTTTGGTTATGATATGATAGTTTTATTCTAACAAATGGGTGGAATAAAATAATATCGTGACAGCTAATATGATAGCAAATGCCGTTACTGATCTTTTAAAAAGATAAAATCCAAAGAAGAAAATTTTATGAAAAAGAAAATATTATAAAACATATAAAATGGAAAAGGATGCTTCAATTAAAAATAAATAAATTATCTGAAAATATGAATAATCACTTCAAAAAAAATATATGATATAAAAGATATGAAAAAATAATAATCATTGTGTTGTGTGTGCTTTTTAAACTATTCTGATTATTTTTTAAAGATAAAAATTATTTTGATTATTCTGATGTTTTTTAAGCAATTTTTTTTATGTTTTTCCAAATGGAAATGGATGTTTTTTTTGTGCAAAAGGAGGAATCTCAGCCGTCAGATTACAGGCGTCACCGAATCCGAATAGAGAAGTGGAAGAGAATTCAAACCATTTTCCGTCGACGGAAACGAAAATTCAAACTCATCAATTTCCGTCGACGTAGAAGACGTTCTGGTTGATTTCTTCATCTAACCGAGTAAAGGCAGCGACTTCGCCCGAGAGGTTTCTGGTGCGTTCTTCTGGATTTTTGATTTTTTTTCCCCGAGAATCGAACACCAGGTTCTTCCGGATTTGGTGTTCATGATTTGGCTTCGACCTCGTTGAATATCCTTTGAGATCGATTTGTGATTTCTGATTTGAGGTGTGAACGCACTCTGGTGCTAGAAGTTTAAGGTATTTGTTTGTAATTTGTTTCCGTAAGATAGAAAATCGGGAAATTATTGGATCTGGGTTTTCGATGGAAGTAACTGAGAAGCGCTTTGAATCATTCAAATATGGCAGAATTAGGGTTTAAGTGGAAACTATCTAATTTAGCGCAGTTTTGGTAATACGAACTTGAAATTTGAAGTGTAGTTTTTTAGCTATTAGCCATGATTACGTGATATTAACCTTTTTGTTTAGCATTAAGGGCCTTAAAAAAGGATGCAACTTCTGAAGGTTTTATTGTATAGATGTTTGTTTTTGTGGATTCTTTGGTGCTTAGCTTTGATGTTCTACCAAATCTTTTTGGGACAGAAATAAAGTTTCAATGGCGAGGATTAAACCTCAGGCTCTTTTGAATCAGAGCAAGAAGAAGAAGGGCCCGAGTCGTATAAGTGTCTCCACAATCTTTATGTGTAGTCTTGTTATCGCATTAGTCATACTATCCTTGGTGGCTACGTATCGTCATTTTTCGCAAAGGTTTGTTGTTGCCTTCTTTTATCTTTTCTTTCGGTTGATTCTTTTTCTTGGACTTTCTGTCAATTTACGATGCTACTGATACAAATTCCCAACTATTAGCTAGCTGAATAGGTTCTTTTGTCATCTTTCAGGCCAAGAAACCAGACGGGGAATGAAATGCAGAGATTTGAGGTACCCTTTTTGCGTTTCAGTCTTAATGGTATCTATAATCTGATGAATTGAATTCATGAGATGGGGCTTAAAGGGTCCACATGTATCTGATCTCATGTCCCTTTTTTTTTCGTGTTTCAGGACATAAATGTAGCATCGGAGTCAAAGAAATATGATCTGCCTGGATATGCGGTAAGTTAAACTCCTGGCATTCATTGCATCAACCCCTTCCTAAGCAGTGGTATTGTATAACATCTAGCATGCCTTTTATTGCTTGCTTAAGTTTATAGGAGTGGTCATGGTGAACTCTCTTGATGTGTGTCAGATGCAGAGTTCTTGAAACTTGAGGATCTTGATTTTCTTTTCAAGTGCGGCCCTTGTTCAGGCTGTTAATTTTTTTTCTGCCTTGAAAACGAAATTGCCATTAGGCCCCACACTGTTGGGTTGATCCACGTTAAGGCTTGAAATGAAATGAGATTTATATAAATCTAACTCTCAAGCTCATGCAGGATATAAACACGTCGAAAGGTCTGATAACTGTGGAGCTCTTTAAAGAAGGTTCTCCGGAAGCTGTGGATAAGTTTCTAGACCTCTGGTGAGTATTGGAGCTTGTTTATTTCCCTTCCAAGTTGTAGACTTTTAGAGAAGTTCATGAATTTTGATTAAAGCTTGATTTTCATTCTTTTACTTGTGTTTTTACACTTGAGAGTAACAGAGATCAAATAAGTAACTGATATGTTGGAGTGTTGTTGATGAAGTGAGAAAGGGCATTTCAAGGGAATGGAGTTTAACCAGGTGATAAAGAACTACATGGTGCAGGCGGGTCATTCCCCGAGCTCTGTACCTGTCGAAGAATGGACTTCTAAAGGGAAACTCCGCAGCCGTCTTCACACCAGGTGTGTCTTTTTTTACTAACTCCCTCCCTCCCACTCTCTGTCACAGTGTTTAACGGTAAAAAATGAATGGGGAAAAGGTATAAAAATAAATAGGGTTTTTTTTTAACTTGCAAAAAAAAAAATCAGCCCAAAACACGAGGCGTTCATGGTGGGGACGACGAAAGGGAACAGCAAGGAGTTTGAGCTTCTGATCACCACGGCTCCGATCCCCGATCTGAATGATCGCCTGATCGTTTTCGGACGAGTCCTCAAGGGAGAGGACGTGGTACAGGTCGGTCCATATTCTCTTCTTTTTCTTTTTCGTTGTGTGTGATACGTTATTTTAAGAAACGTAAATAAAATATTGGGTTTATATATTATGGAATGTTCAGGAGATTGAGGAGGTTGATACAGATGAACACTACCAACCAAAATCGACGATAGGGATCATTGACGTTACACTCAAACGAGATGTGTGAATTTCCGTGTACTCCTACTTACTTCCTTTGTAATCATGCGGCATACTTTGGCCGGTCCGTGGGTTTTGTTTATGTTTCGGAGGGAAAGGGACATGTAACAGATTTTTGGCAACGATTTCTGTAATTTATTCCTTCTTGTGGAAACGGGGGAAAAAATTTCCAGTTTTTTACTTAAAATCCGAAAGTATTACCAAAACCAATTGAGAATTATACAAAAGATATATCATTTGTATGCGAACATGTAGTAATGAGACCAGATCATATAGGGTTTATGAAGAAGAACAGTTACCATTTATGTTTCATAACAAGATGAAAGTAAACTTGGGCATAATCCCCGACGAAAAGGAATCGACATCTTTTCGAAGTTCTCTTTTACTATCTTGATGAACAATAGATGATGCGTTAATTCCATCAAAATTCAACCGCACTCGAAACGGGATATGTTTGTGCGCGAACCTGGAAAGTGTGTCGGTCGTAGGTCTCAGTGGCTCTTCCTTTTTCTGACCACGCGGGAGCTCTGGTCCGTGAGGATCTTCACGACATCGACGAGCGCTCGTAGCCGATCCCATATGTTTAAGCTGTAGAGGGCTTCCACTAGTGCTTCCTGGAATTCGAATCCGTTCTCGGCTACAGGGTACTGTGATCAATCATAATACGCCGACGGAAGTTAGCGAACGATCCGATTTGTGGATTAGTAATAAGTTTTAGTTATCGTTCTTGCCTGTATAGGTTTGGGGATCTTGGTTTTGATAATGGGCCACCACCTGTCCTCGACCACGGATTTCACAAGACAGCAAGCTCGTAACCCTTCTATCCCCGCAAACCGTCCAAATCCGCTGTCCTTTACACCTCCAAACGGAAGTGACTGGAAAACCGAGAGAGATAGAAGGGAA